ACCTAACGGTGGGGGGAGGGAGAAGATGAAACCTTACGTAAACTAACCGAATGGTGAGGGGCGAGGGAGAGGATGAAACCCTAACGTTTTCTAAGAATTTTATATTTCCGACATCAATGGTATAATTATAGTATAATTCTCATAAGCGTCTGTAATTTTATATGAGAACAATTGCGTCGCTGTCTGTGTGTTATTAATATTAAATGTACAAATTATTTCTAAGAATTTTATTGTCGGCTATCAGACTCTTAGGTGATCATGTTTCCAACATCAAATGTACCACCGTACAGTAACGATCACTGTCGTATGCATTTTATGATAAAAATGACACCACATGGCATATTTCCAACATCAAAGGTATCATTATATTATATCGCTTATAATCGTCTGTAATTTTTGGGAAAAATTTTATACAGGTTAACCTGTNTTATAAGCGTCTGTAATTTTTTGGGAAAAATTTTATATTTAATAAACTAACAATGTTTTCTAAGAATTTTATCTTCAGCTACCAGACGCTTAGGTAAGCGTATTTCCAACATCAAAGGTACCACCGTACAGTAACGATCATTCTCATATGCATTTATTTTTACATAGTATTTAATCTATCTGCTTTTGATTTATGTAATAAATAAATGAAATATAATAAGGATAAGGTACTAAAATAAATAACACATTTTTTTTAATAGTCAAATATATATTTAAGTAATCATTATTGTTTTGAAAAAAAAAACAAATTATAATATTTTATGAAGTTTATTAGTCATAGGATTATATTCAAACATTTTGTCGTGTACAATTAAGCAATATGCTGTAGTGTTGGTCGGAAAATTTTCATCAGATTCAAATTCTAATCTAATATCTACTGGCGCATTTTTTAATTTTTCGTTTTGCCTCGAACAGTCAATGACAATGAGTGGTGCAGTTGTCTTGAATTCTGTTTTTGTCAGCATAGAATACGCCATCTCCTTTTCATAGAACACCTCTTGGAATTGAGTGTACATGTGATATGGTACAGCATACTTATCATTTGAAAAGTCCATTCGCAAGTTATCATAGGGGTACGATTCCGAATTCAAGTATACTTTTAGAGATGATAACGAACAATGGTCAAATCTACTACTATCTTTGTTTATTTTGTTTTTTCTATCCACTTGAAAAGCTACAATAACAAATCTCGGGCTCTCAGTCTGCGATGAAGTTTTCACAGTCCAGGCTTGTCTTTTACTATTTGGTAGGCCAGGATTTTCATATAGATCCCAACTTCGAAATGCTATTTGAAGCGGTGTTGAGGTTTCCAGGATTTTGAGCATGTCTAACCGCATGGCATCCGACACACTTACATGTGGAACTTTCCATATAACTTTGCTCAAAATAATTTTACAACTTGATAAATTTTCATTTGTCGAGTAAATACAGTTTAAATCTGTACCACTCCGTTGCAATATTAAGTCTTGACGACAATTAACGATGACTTTTTTATGATCCTCGGCAAATCCTAATAATAACCTTAGAGGTATGCATACTTCGAATTTCATACTCGTATTTGCAGTTACAACACTCCAGCCAGCATTTTCAAACCTTGTATGATCATTCGGTGAAAAAGTGACGTATCCTTTTATTGTAGACATTATCCCAGGCATACGCGATCTATCTATTTCTACTGAGTTCAATAAATATCTTATTTCAGTGAAGCAGTGAGCTAGCCAATTGTTAACCAATTGTACATCTGAGCCGGCAGGAACTCCCGAGAGTTCTCCATCTATCAAGAGATAGGAATCACATGGAAGGGTGTAAACATCTTGCTGTTGAATACATATTCGTATCTCATCATTATTTGATAGTGCGCTAACCGAAAACGGTTGATAGGAAAAATAATCCAATTTCACTATGCGGTCTTCATTGTACGGTGTTTCCATTACTTCTAAAATATCGTCCATTGTTAATTGTATATCCCAAAGCAGATAGAATGTCAAGGTTTTCACGTCGTATCTCTTCAACTAGTCGTTGTTTAATGATTGGTTTTTTAATATTACTCTTGGTTTTATTGAATCGAAGAGCCATCGCGTATATGTAAACGTATGGTAACAGGCTCACCTCTAAAGTTAATCGCTTTATCGTCTTGATCTGTTATTTTCACTGTTATAGAGTATAGTTGATTGGATATTAATGGATAGTATATCAAATTTTTAGGATTTTCAACAATACGGTAACCAGCTGCCACTCCTGGATTAAACTCGTGAACCGTATGACTAGGAATTCCGTTGTCAAATGCGCCATAAGCAGCGTTACAATTTATTTTTATACTAGTTAAATTATTTATGTTAGAAACTTGATCCGATATATGTATTTTATTTGCGTCGAGTATTTTTCGATGAAAGCCTAAAATACCACCTATACTATTTTCAACGCTAAAATCTATCTGTCGGCTACACTTTAATTCTGATTTTAAAGTGTTTTTATTAGCCTTCAACATGAATGAGATTTTATACGACTGAAGACGTTCTTCTAGATATTTACTAATGTCTTCAAGTTCATAAGTGCCTTCAGGCACTTTAATTTCTATGTTATTTTCAAGAAGCTCGTTATTTGTATTTATCAAAGTGAATGTATTGTTTGACTTGTCAATATTAGGTATTGAATTACATCCGTAAAATCCCAACAACGCAACCTCTGGTGCTCCAGTGAATTCTATCGGTGGAAAAAAACTTGATGTGACTTCCGACGTTGTGTCATGCAGCGTAAGGGTCAGCGATTTGAGCATTGTGATTTTAAAAATTTTAAACACAGCTGACCACAAACGTTTGTGTTATATTTTTGTTTCTGATTATAATTGTATTTCACGGGCAATCCGGTGAAATATTTTTCAAGTTCCAGCGGAGGAGGTAAATTTCCAAAAGAGTCAAAATACACCACGTCCTTGTTTTTCTTAAAATATGCTACCCAATGCGTTCCTTTCCCGCGGTCAATGTCCAAATTAACAACTGCACTCTCGTATATTTTGGGCTTGACAGGCAACTTATCTCTCGAAAAGACACCGCGGAAATGACTGATTCCGAATGACTCAGCATATTTTATAATATCTAAATCGCTGAGTGCACGTCGCTTGGGTAGTGTCAATGCTAGTTTTTTTGATGTTTCAAATAGAATCCACCACCCTTCTTTTTCCCAGCATATGGATGCAAGTATAATGCATTACCGATTTTCACTGGTTTATTCGAATTAACGTTTTTTCTGACTTCGTGTGCAGCTCTTACAATACTCGATACTCCACCAGCCAACGATCCTAAAGCTGAAAGTCCAGCAAAAATAGGAATGAGTGGCAGCACACCTCCAAATTTAGGTACTTTGATAGTGCGAGGTGTTTTAAATTTTTGTTTTCCCTTTATAGCAACACGAGCTGCCGCTAATGCCAAGTTTGCCGCACTGTTAATATCTTTTGAATTACGCATAGCTTTACGTCCAACTCGTAGTACACCACCAAAACCCATTCCAATCTTTCTTTTAGCTTTCATGGTATTTGTAACAGCATACGCAACAGTCTTTTCTCCAAATGAACTATCGTTTGCTTTTACGCGGTCCCAAGCACGTTTTTCCAACTCGTAATCAGCCAAATGCCGTTCTGATAAATCATTTGTTCTTGCGTACGCAATATCATGTTCACGACACGCTGCATCGAGTTTATTTATTCCAGGATCACCACGTGCTAGTCTTTTATTAAGTTTTGTGCCTGGTCCGCAATACTGATACCCTGGAACATGCATTTCAATAGGCAATCGATTAATTATAGAATTAACAATACCGCGTCCTACACTTCGCTTTGTCGCACGTCTTGTTCGCACCATTTTCAATTTATAACTGTAAAGGTTTTTTGAGTTTTTCATCATTTATACTCATTCGTTTGACGAGTAATAACGTGCGCTAATAATGTTTTTTGAGAAACAGAAACATACTCTATCAGTCGATAATGTCGTGGATCTTACAGACCCCATAGAGTCTAAACATGGACCGCTGTTACCCAACACAATAAGATGCATAATATGTGGACCATCGAATTGTGGTAAAACAAATGTTATGTTTAAATTATTAACTGAGGAAAATGGTTTGCGATTCGAGCACCTATACGTTTACACGAAAACCCCGGATCAGTATAAATATAAATTATTAGGTGAGATTATGGATAATGTGGTAAAATTATCCATGTTCACCAGCAGTGAAGACGTGCCACCACCCGAAAAATTAGAAGCAAACTCTGTATTTGTATTCGATGATGTGATTTGTGAAAAACAAATTCATATGACATCTTATTTTTGCCGAGGGCGACACAATGGTGTTGATAGTTTTTACCTAACACAGACGTATTCTAAAATTCCAAAACAACTGATAAGAGATAACACTAATATGATTATACTGTACAAACAAGATGAAACAAATCTCAAACACGTTTATGAAGATCATTGTTCCAGTGATATGAGTTTTAATGAATTCAAAGCAATGTGTTCACAATGTTGGAATAAAGGACGATATAGTTTCATTACTATAGTGAAAGATGATGACCTCAACAATGGTCGATATCGATGTGGGCTTGATATATTCATAGAAATGACGCGAGTATAAAAAGACGACTCATACTGCTATATGTTTAGTTAATATCAAGATGTCGGATAAAGTGTTGAAAGAAATCATACGCTCTAAACAAAACATAAAAAATAAAATACAGTTAATTCATAGAAATGTTGAGAAATCGGAAAATTTTGTACGTACACATATGTCACCGCTGGTAACACCTCTTCAAGAAATAGCTAATCAAAATCGTGTTGAAATGGAATAAAAGCAAAAGCATAGAAAGTCATTGTTTCGTCACTTGGGAAAAGCCCGTCCTATAGTAAAAACTGATCCAATTACATCCTTAACATCCGAAGAAAATGATGTGATACAGAGCTCTAGTGAACCCTCTACATCTCAGGAAGAGGAAATAAAGATGGAGAGTTCAATAAAAAATGAACCTTCTACATCTCAGGAAAAAATAAAGACGGCAAATATCGATAAGCCTAAACGCTCGTTTTCCAGTGAAATGCAGCGAGAAGATTTTTCAAAGTGGTTGTTAGAAATGGATCCGGTTTACGGTTTAATGTATCTGAAAGATAATGATTTTATCATGGGCAATACTACGATTAAAATAACCGATGATTTTTCAACTATTAAAGTTGGGACATTAGCACCACGACCGCTAAGTAATGGGCTTTATCAATTATTATTTAAAAGTAAACCTGCAGTTGGTTCATTCAATAAAATGGATTTATCGGATTATAAAACTTTACTACTTTACACTAATGCCCATTTAGGTGGAGATGGAAAATTGAAATTTAATGTAGGTTATAAATATAAATACATCATTAGTAACATGTTTCCTCCGAAAACAGGTAGTGGTGTGTTAACCTACAAAATTTTAAACAAAAGACCTAAAGAATACGTATATTGGAACGATCCTAATGAACTCATAATTCGATTAGAACTTTTACACGCTGCAAGAAGTGCTGGAAATACAGGCGTGGGAAACGAAATACTGTCAATAGAAGAAGAGTTGCGAGAACTAGGTGTAATATCATGAGTAAAATAGCAGAGAAAGTAGCAAATGAATTACATAGACCGGCTAGAAAAATATTTCCTAGAAGAAGAGTTGTATCGTACGGCAAAGATGACTTGTGGCAAGCAGATTTAGTAGATATGAAAAAATACTCTACAAAAAATAAAAATTTTACATTTATTTTTACGATAATCGATGTTTATACAAAATATGCGTGGGCTGTGCCTTTAAAAAATAAGTCTAGTACAGAAGTCAAGTCAGCTTTTGAAAAAGTCATGTTCAATAGATCTCCAAAAATCNGTGGGCTGTGCCTTTAAAAAATAAATCTAGTACAGAAGTCAAGTCGGCTTTTGAAAAAGTCTTGTTCAATAGATCTCCAAAAAACTTGCAAACAGACCGAGGTTTAGAATTTTTCAACAAACATTTTCGGATGCTCATGAAGAACAAAAATATAAATCATTATTCAACCTTTTTTTTTTTTTTTGTTTTCAACCGTTAGGTTGGTTAATACCAATTGGATTGGTATATCCTGGGGAAATTTAAGTGCAGTGGTTTCCCGTTGCCTTCTGCACTGGGAACATGGTGCTTTTTCGCCACCGTAGAAGAGCACGTATGGTCACCCATCCGTTCACCTACGGCGGTAGACGCGGCTTTACACTAGAGTTTTGTCAACAACTAGTGTGACCACCGCGCCACACCACGCCCTATTCAACCTACTCTACAATAAAAGCGGCTGTTATGGAACGATTTAATAGAACACTTAAAGAAAAAATGTGGAAAAAATTTACTACCAACAGATCATATAGTTGGATAAACATTATAGCACATTTAATAACAAATTACAATAATACAAAACATAGTACCATAGGAACAACTCCAANTTTCAACAAACATTTTCGGATGCTCATGAAGAACAAAAATATAAATCATTATTCAACCTACTCTACAATAAAAGCGGCTGTTATGGAACGATTTAATAGAACATTTAAAGAAAAAATGTGGAAAAAATTTACTACCAACAGATCATATAGTTGGATAAACATTATAGCAGATTTAATAACAAATTACAATAATACAAAACATAGCGCCATAGGAACAACTCCTAGTATAGCATCACGTAATCCTGGAAATGTCAGTTTTAAACGGCTACCTATTTTAAAATATAATAAAAAGTTTAATATTGGAGATAAAGTTCGTCTGAGTAAACATAAAGCAGTATTTTCAAAAGGATACACACAAAATTGGACAACGGAAGTCTTTACAATCGCAAAAATTCGTGATACAAAACCTGTCGTGTACGAACTGACAGATGAAAACAACAGACCTATAAATGGTTGTTTCTATGAGCATAAACTTAGCAAGACTCAGTTTCCAGAAGTTTATTTAGTGGAAAAAATCATTAAGAAGAATAAAGACAAATGTTTTGTCAAATTTGTTGGTTTGGATAATTCACATAATAAATGGATAGATTCAATCGATATTATATAAAGCATCCATACATTTTTTTTTTTTTTGATATTTATTATAATAAAACATTTTTTCATTATTGTAATGAAACATTTAGTTAAATAAATAGACAATTACAAATACAACACGAGGTTTTTTTTATTTAATAATTAAAAATATAAGTATATTTAAATTTTTTTTTTTTTTATGTTACATTTTAAAACTATATACGATTACATGTGTATTACTAACATTTATTTACAATTATTTAACAAAAAAAATCTTAAAAATATTTATAACTAGTACACATATTTTTACAAATTATGATTTCAATATTTAATTTTAACAATATTTTTTTTCCAACGAGAATCACTTAAATACTACTATATTTGTATTAACCTCCTGTGGTGGTGGTGGTATAGCATAATGCCCGTGACCCAACGTGTCGATTCTGTATAGCGCTTATCGTCAAAATGGTTAAGCGCCAACTTGGTTGTACGTAGAGTGCGTACTTCGTGCTCGAAAGAACGGATCGACACGTTCTGTCGTTACTAAGTGTATGGCAGCGATAATGTCGGTGGAGTCTCACCATCGCGTACAACTCCCATGACCACACGGGCATTCTCTCCAACCAATGCTCGTTTTGACACATCATCGCCATCGCCATCGTCTTCGAACAAACATCGTTTGTAATCGTCCAAAGACAGATGGTTCCGGACGACGTGCCCACGGATCCCCTTAGACTTGATGAGTTCGCTGCCTTCCATGTCATATGCGTAGCACTTTGATCGAAGTGCAGCGATCTCAAAGAGGGTGAGGCCACCGGTCTCGTCTGAAAACAGGCCGGGCATCTTCTTTCTATCGGTGGAGAAGCAAGGGTGATCCTTGGGCAGGCTAGATGCGTCCACGTGCACCAGTAAATCGGGGCTATCAGCTAAATCCTGGTAGAAGTCGCCGACTTTGAGCAGGTATATGAAGGAGTCTGAGAAAAATGAAAAATATATAAATATTATAAAAAACATTTCTACTAAATAATTTCTAAATTCTAAAATATTTCTATTTTGTACGGTTGTACTCACCAGTATCCATGTAAATCAATTCGATTGCGTTGCCATAATGTGGTTTCAATACGTCGTAGAAGTACTTGTACATTAGCGTCTTGCTAATGTCGAGCACTGCTAAACCGACGTATATTGGTTTGATAAACTTGACAATCTTTGTGTCCATTATGACAGCGCATAACCTTTCACCGTATTTGATACAATCGTTGAAGGTTGGTTGGTTTATGAGCTTGCTTAGACGTTTGGAACTGGAGATTTGGTTGTGGATACGATACATCCACTTCATATATACGCCCCGTATTACCAGTGTCCGACAACGATTGGAGGTCAGCCAGAGGGTCGGCTCCTTTATACCACCGGAAGCCACCGTACGGCATGGGCTGACTCATAGCCCACCCGTAAAGGTTATTGCCTGTATACATTAAACGTTTTTAAACCACCGCTCAAATATTGCGCGTTTATATATNAACCGCTTAACTATTGCGCGTTTATATATACGTATAGATTACTTACAGTCTTGATACACGATCCATGAGTCTGGTTTTGACGGATCGTAATCGGCTGTCTTAGGATTGTTGGCCTTTGCATAGTGCTTGATAGCCTGCACTAACTCACCACGAATGCCCTGTTCCACCATCAGTAGCATGTCGTAGTCGTTCAAGAGCTCCAGCTTCATCCTGGTGTATTTCAACATACAATCGAAGCTAAAACCAGGCGCGGTGTAATAGTGCGCCGGGTCCAAATTGTATGTTGAAATACAGATGTCGCGGAAGTTCTCAAACACATCAGCCAACAACAACACGTCGATCTTAAGATATAGGTCGCTGTACTCACCGAGGGTTGAGTAGCCGAAACGGTTCCACACCTCCGTGGCATGTCTATAGTCATCATCATCGATATTCGACTCACTTAACTGACTATAGAAAGCGTCTTGAGGCGGTAGTTCCGTTTCGTCCAATTTAGTCCAATTATCAGTGTACTCGTAGGGGTATACGCCCTTACGCGTCACTAACGGCATGTCGTCCGGACGGAACACCTTGGTCGTCTCCCGAAATTTAACGAAATCAGGCGTCATTAGGTTACCGCCAAGGTGGACAGGGAGGAGGCCATGAACCGGAAGGTGTCAACTAACCGTATGGAAAAGTAATTGGTCACGTGTTTCGTGACTGAAATATACTTCTCCTCGGAATTCGGTATGACCGAAATCCTTTGGTCGTCGTACCTCAATTCAGTGACGATGAAATGCGCGTCGTAACCTGAAAGATTGTGCAAGAAGCATGGCACAAAGTTGACCGTCTTTACTTTCAGGTTACATGCATTGCACAACGTCTGTCTGAATCGACCCGATAAATGGCAGTGGTCTGCGACTTTAGGGTTGGAATCCTTCAATGCTGTGCGGCATAAGTCGCATACCGTTTTCTCCCTGTGCCTGCGCACATCTTCGACAGATATTTGGATAGGAACGTTGGTTTTGCGCAAAAATGTAGAAATGTTGCGCGTCACTTTAGTTACAGCCATCACGAATGCCTTAGCGACCTCTTCGCGTTCCTCGGACCCACGGTATATCACCGGTGATTATGGTATACCGTAACGTTCGAGGAGCTCGGAGGGCACATCGTCCGATGATTTCACCATGAACCCGTAGCTCATGGGATGGTGGGTGTGCACAGTCCTGGTGTATGCACCCATACGATCATCTGTTTTCTCCAGTAAGGCCTCAAAATCGGCGTAGATGACGAACGGTAACCGTTGCGTCTTTACCCACGCTTCAAATTCGACCTTACTGCCCTCTGCCGGCATAACAGGTAAAATTGGTTTATTTTTGCCGCATATCAACTTGTGTTGCTCCAACACTTGATGACCCCGAAGAATATGCTTTTTGGGTTGATCATCAAAGCTGGTAAAGCAACGTTTGCAAGTGTATATGCGGCCTTGGTGTCTGGTTTTTTGTTTACGAACAAGCTTAGAAAAATTTGAAATGTACGCGTAATGTGATTTTTCAGAGTCACCAATATACAACAGGTCAAAATGATTCTGTTGTTCTTTGTCGGCGACTCTTAGCGGATACACCAACCACTTCATCTTAACATCGTCTCGTTCCAAGCCGTACACGTTGACAGACACGATAGGGTTTCGTCGCTCGAATATTTTAATTTGGGACACAGGTGTGGGGAACGCCAATCCCGTGAAATCATACCTGTGTTCCTCATTAAAATATTTTTGATTAACGCGTGTATTATTAACCCCAACGTGCCTCGCTAAAATGGATCACTTGAAACAAGACTGATCGATATTCTGTGGGTTGATGATTGCTTTTCTATGATTAATTTCTGGCGGAATCGGAATATATGATGAGCCGGCGAGGGGCGTATACTTGTATACGCTGAGCATAAGGCCATCGATATGCGATAGAGAAAAGCCGCTACCCCTCCCCGAGTACGTGTCTTCCTCGGCGAGCATAACCTCAAAATCTTCATCGACCGCACACCCGATATCCGTATCGGATAGCAATGCCCTAGCCCGTGTTTTGAAGGCACGGTCCTCGGGTGGTGCTTCCGATCGTGGTATATGGTATGAGGCCTCCAATTTGAGATTATATTTGATCGGACGGTTACCTACGATTTCAGCGAGTCTGACGACCAGCTCGGGTTTAACGGCGCGCAGAAAATCTCGATAGCTCGCGAAATTCCACGTTTTTCCGATAAAACCAAACGGCCCCCCGCTCCAATGCGGAATCGATCTCGGTGAAATTACGGGTATCCGTCAATTGCATACGTAACCTTTTCGACCTAACCGCGCTGTTGTTAGCCCTACTACGTTAGCCTCCTGACGTGATGAAACAGATGTCACGGAAGTAGCTTTAATCAAAAATGAAATAAATTATTTTTTTATGCATTAAAGTAAAGTTAAGAAGTTTTTTTCTCATAATAAAAATAAATCGTTAATTAAAATAAAATTGACAGTAAAATTAGGTATTGGCTATAAATTATTATTTTTAATAAATTAATGAATTTAAAAATTAAAGATATTTAAAATAATTAATTTATTAAAATAAAATAAGTTTATAATTGGAAAAAACTACATACCTTGTGTAGAAGACGATTGATCTTGCTGGTTCGTGGTTTTATTTATACGTGTAAATTATTAAATAACAAATTTCTGGTTTTCAAAAAGACAACTGCACGTCAATGATAATTAAAAACAAATGTGACAGAACGAGAAGTGTTTAAGCGGTTATATAGTAAAGAATAAAATACGTAGGCGTGAAACACAGCCAGTGGTGTCATTTTTATCATAAAATGCATACGACAGTGATCGTTACTGTACGGTGATGCCTTTGATGTTGGAAATATGCTTACCTAAGAGTCTGGTAGCCGAAGATAAAATTTTTAGAAAACATTGTTAGTTTACTAAATATAATATTTTTCCCATAAAATTACAGACGCTTATGAGCGATATAATATTATGATACCTTTGATGTTGGAAATATACTTACCTAAGCGTCTGGTAGTCGATGTTAAAATTCTTAGAAATTATAATGTCATAACGCCAAACGTTGCCATTGTTCTCATAAAATTCATACGATAATGATCATTACTGTATGGCGACATCTTTAATATTGAAAAATATGCTTACCTAAGCGTCTGGTAGTCGATGATAAAATTCTTAGAAATTATTTATACATTCAATGTGAGAAATATGTTTACCTAAGCGTCTGGTAGTCGAAGATAAAATTCTTAGAAAACGTTGGGTTCATCCTCTCCCTCACCCCACCGATAGGTTAGTTTACGTAAGGTTTCATCGTTCTCCCCCACCATTGCATTAGGTTAGTTTAATCCCCCCACCCTGAAGCAATACCTCGCGGTAGTTCCAGGGCGGTCCACATCATGCCGGCATGTGGGGGGAAAAAAAGTGTTTAATCCCCCTGTACACTTCCTCCACCAAAAGGATGTGGAGTGGGTGAGGCGGGGGGAACCAGCTCTCTCCAAATTACCCTACTTACAATGTTTAAGGTTGCAATAGAAATAATACAACGAGCTCACGTTCAAAAGGAAGCAGTGTTTAATAGCTATAATTAATACTGATTTAAAGCATAAGGGATGATCATAAAAATGTATTTTTACTCACTGAGCATTCCAAGATAGAAACATAATATTTCATAAAGAAAAAAAAAGGTAAATTTTATAATTTCAGAGATAATTTGTGAGGCATATTTAATCCTTCTGTATCTGGTAAGGCAATGTTCTGATTTTATTTACAGTATAATTGTTTAAAAACTTCTGAAAATTTGTTTACAAATTTTCAGGAATAGATAAATAACGTAAACAAAAAACATAATACAACAAGATATTTATAAATTGTATTTTAATAATTTAAAACTTTCTTTTGCATAGCTGTTGGGTTAAATAATAATTAGTTGATTATTATTATTATTTTCAGGTATAATTTTGATTACATAGTTTTACTATATTGGTATGTAGTTAGACAATAAGACATCAAGACATTAAGATATTTTATCATAGAATATGTTTTTCTTATCATTTAAATTATTTCCGGTTATTAAAACTATATTACAAGTTATGTACTCTCAACATATAGAGTATAATTATCTTATTTGAGTTTGACATAATTATGAAATTTCTGGATCCAACATCAAATATTGGTAATGATTTTAAGTAAAACAATGTTATACTCTTATTTTTTATAATTTTAGTTGACATCTAATTATAAATTAGAGTAGCATCAAATGAGTATTAGATGATAATTAAAATTTGTATTAATTGTTTTTTAAATTAATTTTATTATTACAGGTAGCAAATCTATCTAAATAATGTCGTTTTATACTTCTTGAATATTTTTAAGTAAGAGAGTCACATCTTAAGAATAAGTATATAATAGACATGCAAACTACAGCATATTAATTATATAATAAAATAAAAACATTGTACAAATCATTCAAAAAACTTAATTAATTTATTTTAAAGCGTGGCTTACAGTTTTTATTAATAATGCTCCATACAGCAAGTGTATGTCAAAACTTAAAAACAATTTATCAATTTATACGTTTTTAAAATTAAGATTGTTACTTTTTATTAAAACTATAAAAATTAATAAATTATGTTACAAAATAAAAGTAACTTAATAACAAAGTATTTAAAAACAATGAACAATTAAATAAATAACTATATTCTACATTAGATATAGTATAACATTAATATCTTATTTTAATTTAGACTCATTACTGTAAGTCTTTTTATAAAAAACTAAAAATAAATACAAAAATAATGAAACGTCAACTATCATATAAATAGTAAATAATCTAGGAAATTCGCAATCAAAAATGAATAAACTAAAACCATAAGTCAATCCAATTATAAATTGCACCTAAAAAAATATAAATTTAATCAATCTATTTTATGTATATATATATATATATTCATACATGTATGAAAGTATTCCAAAAAAGTACTTCAAAAATTAAAAATGTGTCTACTAATTTTTTAAGGGTCTTGTAAAATAAACCTTCTGAAAATGTGGATCTTCTAACGTAACCCCTTTCCGTGCCCCATTAAAGTTGAAACTCGATCAATGAGTTTTTGTATTTTATTCACTTATGTCATAAACTATTTATCTTATCGAAAATATTGCAGAATATTATGTAAAATAAAACATATAATGAATAAAAAAGATAATTATAATTTTATACATAAATAAAAAAATAAAAGAACTTCGAAAATAAAGAAAAATACGTTTTTTAAATACTCTATTAATTTTAATTATTAATTATTATTAATTATTGAAATTACTAATGCACAGTAATAGCCATGTTTGTATTGATATTATATATATATATTTATTAATTATTCTAGAGATTACTGTGCAAGTTATACATTTATTTCAGAAAACCAAAAAGCTAAATACAAAATATAATGTTCACATTTTAAAGTTCAAACGCTATTTCACTTAATTTTTATAATTTTTTTTACATTTACTTAATGAAATAGAAAAAAATCAGAACTAAAACATATATTTATTTTTAAATATATAAATTATATTAAAAGACTTTATTTAGTTTTCACTCTAAAAACTCTGAATTTAGCCTATAAACGAATAGGTTCTAACATCAGTTTTTAATTTCAAAGGAAAATGTGTGTTAGTTTAAAGAGTTTTTTTATGATTTGTAATTGAAAATTTTTAATATTTTGATTCTATTAAAAACTGAAGATGCTGTAGGATGCTCAAAACTTAACAAAGCTATAGATATACTTAAAATATTAAGAAGCTTTAGAAATTATCAAAATTTAATAAAATCATATAAAAATACAAAATTTAAAGAAAAATATTTATTTATAAAGAATCTATAGAAATGTGGAGATGTTTTGCCTTTTTGTAGAATATGTATACACTAAAAACAATATTATTAAATGATTTTTATAGAGTTTAAAATACACGTTTAAAGGTATAAGTTATTATGAGTTCTTATACATTTCATATTACTAGAAATGTAGTAGTTATGACATTTTATAAAAAAATATCATGTGATTAAGTCATAGTATTCAAAAACATTTAATCATAACATTAATATGATTAAAATTCTCTTTTCAGCTCTTTTTATACTAAATGAGTTGTTTTATATCATAGATATATCTATTTTATTTTCTAAAATGGAAAAAGATATTTTTGGACATTAGAAATAGTGACTTTAAAATCCAAAAGATAATTGATTATCTGCAATTTACTCCAAGTATTAAGAAATTAATAAGCACCAAAAATAGTTGTGTATCTAAATTTAATCAGTATCGGAACTATTACACTGTGTAATGTTTACTTCCTTCCATTTATTCCTCATTGTTTGCATGATAATAATTAGCCAAAAAGTAAATAAAACGCTTTAGGAAATTAATTATTTATACAAAACTAAAAGTAAAGAATTTTTTTCATGACTTACAATTTGTAAACGGGTTAAATATTTTTTCCACCACAAATACTTTTGCATTATTGGCCCAAAAGCTGATAAAAAATAATAACTATACATAATTGCATGAACAAATGCGTTCATAAGACCAACAAACGCTCCACAGGAAGCTATAATTAAAATTAAGAAAATTATTAATTATTATTAATTCAATTATTTTTATGTTATCTTATCAAAGAAAAATTGACTTTTCTTTGGTTGACTTTTTTAAAATTTTATTTTTGATAGTAAAAAGTATTAATAAAAAAATATATGTTTGTTTTTCTGATAAATTTTTTTTTAATTATAATGTTTCCTAACTTCAATAAATTTTTTGTATTGCCCCACTCTAACATACTACGTGTGGACTAGATTGAACTAACATATCTATATAAAATCATATCAAACAATCATTATGATTAATTTTTCATTCCGATCATATTAACATATATTTTTTTTACCACTAAAGAAATTTGAAAATTCGAAATATTTTGTTATATTGATTACTTTTTCTGAATACTTATGTAGATATATCTATTTCATTTTATATCAATCTTGTCTATCATCTTGTTTATATAAATAAACCAATATTTTGTAGAATAATATTTGTTTTTCATTTGTGTTAATGTACCAAATTAACTTTTTAACGAGAGAATCATAGTTATTTTTTATTGGTACAATATTTAACTTAAATATACAGAGTAAAAAAGGTTGTATCTATTACTATCACTTTAATAACAATGAAAAATAGAAAATTTAATATTAACTACTTGAAAACATTTTTGACTTGGTCGATTTTATTACCTAAAATTACTATCATTGCGCTATCGAATCAAACCATAAAATAATAAAATAAATTTAGTTTAAAAATGTAAAAAAAAACACGCTTTTAAAGCACATTGAACTAATAAGTTAATTTTAAAAATTATTTTTAACTTTTTAGTTTCATATGCTAAAAAGTGTTTTTTTTTAGCTTTTTTAACTATATTTTTTTATATAAATAGCTTCGGTATTTATGTTTTCGTTTAAAATATTATAGTATGTAATATAGCTATAATCGTTATGAACTCGATCATGTCTTTATCAAGTTTCATGTACTGTTCCATCGAACTTTTTCCTTGTTTTATCGACTTTATGATGACAGTTACTATCAATATCATGATTGTAACTGGTAACGGGGAATCCAGGTTCGATTTCGGAGAGAGAGACTGAGAAAAGGCTACCGCATCCAAAGAAGGTAGCAGGCGTAACAAGATAGTGTCGAAAAATAACGATACGGGATTCATCTAAGGCTCCGTAATCGGAATGAAAACACTATATCTCTTAATGAGAATAAAGCGTGTTAATATATAAATTTTAATAGTAATTAGTATATATATATATATTTATATACATCTACAGAAAAGTGACTTAGATACGAAGATGTATCATACACAGTTAATAATAATCTTCGCATAATATCGCGGCACTTTCGCTGGCGTCGGCGACGCGGTGTCCGGTATGATCCTCGGGCGTCGAAAAGTTAGCAGCGTTGATGGCGACGGTGAGCGGGTGCGGATCGGTTCGTCGAGTTCGGTCATCCAGAGCCGGTGGCGTACATCCTCGACATTGTCACTTTGACAACGGGAAGAAGACTCAACGTATCATTTGCGGCGGGTCGTCATTGGACGTGCGGCACTTGGTGGACTTTTCACCGTGGCGTATGGCACGCGGTATTAGTCAGTCGGCTGATAAAGGTGGCACGAGTGGCGGAGCCACTATATTAACAAATATAAATTTGTTTATAAATATATATATATTATATTGATGACACGCATGCGTGTACGGGTACGAAAACCAAAAATATAATTATACAGGTATAGTGTTGTCCGTGTATGGTGAGCGGGGTGGGGTAAATGCGTTCCGAAAGTCTAGTCTCGAGACTATAGACGACGGGATACGCGAGAATAACATCACGTGGCGCGTGGAGAGTTACAAACAAACATACAGGTGAAACTAATATAAGCGTGTTAAAAAAGGACTACTACGGATTCTCCTCACTTCAAATATTAACTTTTTGTTTGCTCTTAAATTTTAAGAAAATTAAAAAAAAAACTTATTTTTAAATAAATACAGTAATTTAAAATTAGGTACTTCTAAAAAATTTGCAGAATAACCAAATAGAAATAACCATATTAACATGATGATAAACATGTAAAAATGACACATGAGATTGTTTCTTTCTTAGCACAAAAAACACCTAAAAAAAAATTTACATGTCATTAAGTTAAAAATGATCAATATGCAAAAATAAAATAATTTTTATTTTTAAAAATTTAGCAATAAACAAGGGTTAATAAGAAGATCTTTAGCTAGAATTTAAGAGTTCAGTTTAACAATCAAGTATACTATCAATTTTAGCTTCGATGCAAAACTGAAATAGTATTAATTACACCATGATGTGTTTATTTATTTTTTGTGCCTTTCGATACTTTTTTTTCATTAGGTATATTTTTTTAAATATAAATCTGAATCTGCTTAGAGAGAGGATTCAAAATAGAAACTTTTGCATAATAGCTAACCTATTCAGTTTAAATTTTGAAAATGTTTCGGAAATACTTCAAACAAAAATTAAATTAAAGATTATATTATATACTATATATAAAAAAAAAAATTTTCGTCATAAATTATCTTTTATATGCAAATCGCCGCAATAACTAAAAACATTTATAAATTAACTTTGAAAATATTCCGGAATGATCCTAGTTTCAAATATGTGTTAAATTGAAGTTTATGTTACATATTATAAGTAAAAAATATTGTATCGACTCCAAATCTTCTATTTTTCCTTAGCTACCACCGGACCGTTTTTTTAACAATACATCAAAAGATCACAAATTTAATTTAGTAGAAAACATTACCTTAAAAATATAAACAGTTCCCTCGTTCCCCGTAATATGCAAAATCATCAAAAAATTACAATTTTTAAAATCAGTAATTTTTGAAAGTTTTTCAACTTTTTTACTTAAAGCTGCTATAATTTTTTGAAAAATGGATGAATCATAATAAATTTTCTTTAGTTAAAACCTTAGGTATTTCTTTTTCATTTGATAACATTTTCTAAAAATTTGACCCTATACCTACACAGCATATAATTTATGTTGATTTGTATTTATATTATATAGTAAATATGAATTTTAATAATTTCTCCGTAAAAATTAGAATACTTTATTGTTAAATATCAATTTCATACTAAAGTTTATTTTTATAATACATGTGTTACATTTATAAGTCGTAAAACTCTTAATTAGTATATAATTAAGTAAATTGGAGTTGATTTTGATTTTGCATTAACTCAAAATTTCCTTCTAAAAAGTAATCATTATCTACCGATTTGCATCGAAGCGTTTCTTATGATAGTGATTTTAATCACTATCATTAACCATTATACAACTCACGTGTTTATTTTATTTGAAGAGAAACATTTTTAATTTTGAATCATGTAAAAATGAATATATATATATATGCATTTCAATTTTTTTATTAAACAATATCTTATAGTTAATTTTTTTTAAGAAAATTTGAGTAGTAAGAGTACAAATTGATTGTTATTGCAAATTATGCTGTGAAATAAATAATTAAATAAAGATTTTAGCTTATTTATCTACATGATAATATAAATAATTAGTAGCTCTGCAAATAAAATAACTTGCAACTTTTGGTATTATTATGATTTTTTCTAAAAAAAGTACTTTAAAAATTTCTTACTGTGTCAATGAGGTCCAGCACTTTGGAAAACATAAAATACCAGCAAAAGCTATAATACTAAAATATAAATTAATTAATATTGTACAAATAAAATGTATATTTTACATGTTTAATTTGCAATAAATGATGATAAATAATTACAAATTTATGTGATTTATTAATTTCCTAAGTTATACAACCTTTTTCAGTTTTTAAAGATTTTTATTTTCACATTACTTCAAACACATAAATGTATAATTTTATTATTAGAGAAATTAAATGAAATATTTCAGATAATACTGATATCTTATAACTTTTTATTTAATTATGATTTCGCTGTAATTTTTTTTATAACTTTTATACTCTTAGAGTACGCTAAAAAAATCATTTTTTAACATTTTATTTTAACGTAGTTTAAAAATTTTAAAATTGTAAAACAGTTATAACGAAATGATAGTTGCATCTAAAGATGCAAGATTTATTAGGATAATCTGAAACACTCCTTATATTATATATTTAATTGGCTTATACAAGTATTATAAAGTTAGACTAATTTATTTAAATTATTTATTTTATTTGTTGAATAACTTTTCTACTTACCCTTAATCTTATATGAAAATCTATAGAAGATTCACGACACAATGTACTAATCATAGCATTGAATAATTCAGGTTGAAATATCTATTTATACAAACAAAAATAGGGTTTGATTTTCACTGATCTGATAATATTGCAGTAATATAAAATTTAGAAATTGTAAATTATTATGATTATAATTTATAATAAAAAAGAGAAATTAGATTATTATTACTATAAAATTAAATAAAAAGTTTTAGTTTCATTTTTTCAGTAAACAATTTTTTAATCCTTTGTTTAATTTGAGTTTATACCATAGTTTTTTTTTTAAAGCTTGTTTATTTAATAATAAGAAATAATTGTAGAGTTTTGAAGGTATTGTGGTTTCTTAGATCATTTAATTCTCAAAAATAAAAATAGGTATGGTTGCGTGTAAATTATGAAAATTATTAACGTATTTATTTTTAAAATTCGTAAAAGAGCTTTGGTCAGTTATTGTCTGTGTATCGACTATTATGAAAAAAGTATAGTCAGGTTGTAAAAAATCAGCGCACGATTTTTTTAATGCGTTGACGTACAAAGACTATTATGGTGCATTCCTTAAATATGCACATTTCTCAGATAACAACGGATGACTTCCGATAAGTCTTAGCAGATCTGTGCTTCTCCGCACCACAAAAATCGACTAATTAATCGGAACAGGCTACAACTTCGATTTATCGTGTGCAGGAAAAATAAAGCCGCAACCCGACCGGGCCTTGTTTTCCAAGAGACAAAGTTTGAACGGGTCGTTCCGGTCGTGGAATAGTGACTCACTAGTACGAGCCAACCGACGACGATATTTATCATAGTCGATAACGATACCGAACCGTTCGTATCACATAATCTTGGTAAGTTAGAACAGTACACGGAAAAAATGCGCGCAAAAAATATTTTGATCGCACAGTTCAACGTGATGAACGTAGGAGGTTCATGATTCAACTGTGTAAGAGTAACGTAATTCAATTAGGTATGTACACTAAACAGCAAGACGGCAATTAAAACAGCGACGACGTTCAACGCTGATATTAACGGAATATTTAAAATTCATGAACGAGTTGGGATTTGAAGCGAAATGGTAAAAAGTACGATGTCCTTATTTATCTCATCATGCCGCCATAAATAATCACAACACAACCGCAAAACTTCAAGTGGTTTTTGACACATCATGTAAGACCGCCTTGGGTCTTAATAACGCATTACTAAAATTAGTCATACAGAACAAACTGCTTTACATTCCGACTAGATTTTGTGGTGTAATTATAGTGTACAGTTAATGAAATTAAACAAGTTCGGTATCCCAAGACGTGTGTTGTGAGAAATAGAATTGTTGAATTACAGCTACTTAGTTTTGTCGATTAAAACGATTAACACATGTATTTACATTAGAAGTACAGACGAAAAGATACGCCACACGGTGCGGTTGTTATAAGCGAAGTTCAATGTTGCGTCCACAAAGTCACTGCTTCGATTTGAATTGCATGCAGTACTATTATTTACACGTTTGAGAAGCCCATTGGTGCCAAAGTTAAAGCGCAAAATTGATCAGCCATTTTATTGGACCAAATCTAGCATAACCCTCACTTGGATATTGTCTTCATCTGCTAAATGAAAAACATCCGTGGCACATCGTTTTGGTGAAAACCTGGACAATACCACTCTCAATGAATAGTTACATGTCTGCTTAAAGGACAGTCCTGCCGATTTGCTTTTAAGTGATTGCACTCCAAACAAATTGTGAATCTACACAACGTAGTGGAACTGTTCTTTTGTTGAAGGCAATAGTTTGTAATTGTTCTATAGCTTATTGAAGTTTATCATTTTGTATATTTATTATCTTATACGCACAATTGTTATACATATGAGATTATTTATTATTCAGTTATATTAATTTTTTTTAGTTCACATTATTTATTTGTGCACTTAAGTTCGTAATTTGCATGTACTTTTTATTATTTATGTATTTACGTATTACTAATGACATATCTCGAATCTGTTTATTTTTTTGAAGCTAATATTTTAAAGCGAGTGGTGTGTTTAGCATAAGTAGGGTCATTATCGTGTAAATATTCATATCTAATTCGGAGGCCACAAGTCGCATGGTTTTTTGTAGTAATAGTAGTAGATCTTTGTACAGCACAAGTAAAATAAACACATGCAGAGTTTTGTACTTGGCACTTTTTTTTATAATTTTTTAGCAAAAAAAGGTAATAACCAAACAATTGATTTAAGTTATTTGTAATAATTTAAGGTAAAACAATTTTCAAGTGTCCTTTGTAATCTCTAGTCGATTAGATATATTAAATTTAATTAAACATAAAATTTATATTTAATAACTTACATTTGTAACAAAAATGAAATTATATATCATTTGCATAAGGTTGTATGCCATCATAATGTATTTCAAATTAAGTGGTTTACGTTTTTCCATTATTTTAGGTCCAATTTTCAATATAAATAATAAGTAAATCGCTAGAATAAATAATATTGGCCATGGTGTTTTCATTAATGACCACGAGTCAACTAGTTCATCTAAAAATATACAAACTATATTAATTTGAGATATGCTTCATTTTATTACGGTTTACACAAATTTTATTGAGTTTAAATTATAAACAAGCAAAACCTTTTTTTTTGATTAGATCTCCTAATTCTAATTTCTATATAACTTTCGATTTAAAAATGTATAAACTGATTTAGAATTCAAATTTTTAAAAAATGAAATGGCAAATTCTTTTGTTCAAATTGATATCTAGATGCATTAAATTACACAGTTTTGTAAAGTAAATTATGCATGCTAATCGTAACTTTTCTTATTTGATAAAGCTAAATATAATTTTAGATATATAGAGTGATTCGTTTTACATAAACTCTACAAAATTACTTTCAAAATAAATACAATAAACAAAATTAATTTTTTTTTTTTTGGTTACATTTTAATATGTATATAAGGGATAATTATTATTTAATTCCTCTCACAGTAATTATAAACTAAGTTAAGTTACTTTATAAAAATAAATAAATTTTTACAATCATCCATTATGATTTAAACATTCGCCAAAATCTGATTTTCAATTATCCCATGTCTTTTTTTTTTTTGAAAATAATAACAAATTCCGAAATTATAAGTTAAAAGTTGTTAACGATGATGTATCATAGTTATAAGTACATACTGATAAGTAAATTTGAGAAGTCTCTAGGAGAACTAAGTCACAAAAAAGCAATAGGTGTTGACGATATCCTACCTGAATTACTGAAAAATATAGGAGAAAAGACAAAATATCAATTGTCCAAAATCACTTATGGTAACTATAATTATGAAAGTCTACCACTGGATTTTGTCAAAAGTAAAACTATAAGAGTTCCGAAGAAAATCATTGCAACGGAATGTGAAAACTATAGAACTGTAGCGCTCCTCTATCACATTTCAAGAATACTTCTAAACATTATGAAGAATAGATTGAAAGAGAATATAGAACAAAATATATCGGAAAATCAGTTAGGATTTGGGAAATGGTGAGGAATAAGAGAAGTGATTATAGCACTGAAACAGATCTTTAAAAGAAGAATGACACAGAATTGAAGTACTATAGCAACATTCATAGATCTAGAGAAGGCTTTCGATAATGTGGATTGGAAAATCTTATTGAAGATATTTAAGAGAAAAAGAAATTTATTGGAAAGATAGACGGCTCATCTTTAACTTATATTAAGTTCAAAAAACAGAAATAAATGTATATGGTTCGATAAAAAAAGCAAGAATAAGGAAAAGAGTGATATAAGAATGCTATTTGTCGTTCTATCTATTCAATCTTTTCATTGAAATGAGCATAGATATAATGAAAACCAAGACCAATGGAGTAAAATTAAATGGTCAACATATACACTGTATTCGCTTTGAGGATAACATTGTTATTCTAGCAGAGTCTGAACATGACATGAATAATATGTTCAAAATTCTATCAAATGCACTTGATAAATTTAAAATGAAAACCAAAACAATGCTTATAAATAAAATACACTCAGATCTAAATCTTAGTTATAAGAACAGTTATAGAAAACATATTTCCATCAAAGAAACTTAAGTAGACAAAATATTAACAGCGAAAGTAGGAGAGGAGGAACATTTTTTGAATATTATAAAACGTATAATACTACTAACTTCTATAAAAAAAATATTATTAGCTTCAATACGAAGCTGAGAAGCTATTAATTTTACAATAATGTGTTTTTTTTTTTAGCTTCGATGCGAAGCTGAGAAGGTATTAATTTTACTATGATGTTTTTTTTTTTTTTTTTTATGTCTGTTGCCATTTTTGCTCAGCTCTCACTGGACCGATTTCTTTCAAAAATACGTCAAAAGATCACAAATCGTATCTAGTTGAAGACATTACCCTTAAAAATTGAAAAAAATTCCCTCGTTCCCCGCAAATGGGTGAAATATCCAAAAAAATTACAAATTTAAAAATCGGTAAATTTTGTCATTTTTCTCACTTTTTTTTCTTAAAACTTCCATAACTTTTTCAAAAATGAACAAATAAAAATAATATTTTTTTGTATTGAAACCTTCGATATTTCCCTTTCATTTGAAATAATTTTTTTTGAAAATCTAACACTTAACTTGCTCATTGGGGGGGATTTAAAATAGCAACTTTTTTACAAAAAAAATTTTTTGAAAATGTTCCGGAAATACTGCGTCCTTTAAACATATATCAAATTAAAGCTTATTTTATGTACTATAAAATGAAAAAAAAAAATTTTCCCGAAACTTTATCTACTATGTGCAAATTGCTGTCGAAATTTAAAAAAAAATGTAATATTTGCGATAAAAATCACCTTCTATAAGGATGTTTTTTGCAGTTAAAACTGTCATAATTTTTTCAAATATTTACAAATCAAAATGATATTTTTTCATATTGAAACCTTTGGTAATTTCCTTTCGTTTGATATCATTTTTTTTTGAAAATCTAACACTTATTCTGCTCACAAAGGGAATTTAAAATAGCAATTTTTTTACAAAAACTAACTTTTTCAACTTAATTTTTGAAAATGTTCCGGAAATACTGCGTCCTTTAAACATATATCAAATTAAAGCTTATTTTATGTAATATAAAATGAAAAAAAAAATTTGTCTTGACGACCTATCTTCTATGCGCAAATGGCTACCGTATTCAAAAATATGCTATTTTTCTATTAAAATTCTAAGTTTTGTATTTTATTTTATTTTAAAATATCTTATTAGGATAATACATGGTGAAAATAGCTATAGTATTTAAAAATATGTTATTATTGTGTTAAAATTTTTGGTTTTGTATTTTATTTTATTATAAGGGGATTACACTGATTTTCATAAATATTATATCAATCTAACTGACATAGTATAAAAAATTAATCATATTTAAATTTTTTTGTTTTTGAAGTCGAGAACAATAACTTTAAAATTTGAACTAGCTAAATTTCCATTTTTATTAAGTGACGAATGAGACGTACGGTTTTTGAGACGGTAACACTTGGGTCTTTCACGACTGTGGCACTGAATTTTTTTTAAATTCTTTTTGAGTTAAAAAAAAACGTGTAACTCATTTGATTTTTATCTCATTTAGATTCAATAAATATCAAGGATTCCATTACTATAGTCTCCTCTCGTTAGAAGAAATTCATATTAATATTATTTTACTATGTGGTTTTGTTTTTTGTAGCTATCATTTATTTTCTCAGCTCTCATTTGACCTACTTTTTTGATAAATTTTTCTTTTTTAATTAAACACTATCTACAGATTTGCATCGAAGCGTTTTTTATGATATTGATTGTAATCACTGTCAGATATCATCTATACTTGTCCCATCTATGCCTTGTCTACATTATGCCACGACCCCACTGTGCTGGGTTTTTTATGTTTTAATTTTAAAAATACACGAGTTATAATTTAACAATAATTTATTGAGGACTAATTTTATTAATTGCGTAAATTTTTTATTTTTCGGTTTAATTTAAACATACTCAAAATTTTAAAAAAAAAATTATCTTAAAAAATATGTATATTTTTCAAACAAATAATATATTTAAAATTTAAATAATACATTTGGTTAACCAAATGTGATACATCACCATCAAGATAAAAATCATATATAAGTTAAGTTCTTAAAATTTGTATAATTTTAAAATATGTAAAAAATAATTTTTTTATAGTATATCAAAATATATTTGTTACCTGTGTGTATTTCTTGTTCCAATTTATCTATTAAGTAATCAATCATTTTATTGAAAAATCCTCCTTCTAAACTACCATATGTTATATTTGCCATGTTTTGGTTTTGTATAATACCTAATCATGTGATAAATAAATATATAGATTTTATTGCTTCATTTTTATGAAATTTTTGTGTAAATTAAAATTTAAATAATAAAATAATTTTACATCAACTTACTAAAATATTTAGTTTAATAATAAAAAAAAATGTAAATGTCTACATATTATACAGGGTGATTTTTTTATCATAACCCACTCAATTACTTGCAGAATAATAATAATTTAAACATTTTTTTTTTTTAATATCTTTATTTACANCTATTTTATAATTAAAACATAATTTATTTTAAATATGATAAAATAGTTTTGATTATACTAAAATAAGAACTATATTTTCTAACCATGAAAATAGCTGTTTGAAAAAATTTATGAACATGTGTTATAGAATTTATAACAACTTTTTAATCAAGTGAAAGGAAAAGTATAACTAAGATATGCGCATAAACAAAAATATTACACCCTCACCTTAACTACAGCTAATACTTTTACATTGTTATTAATTTCTGCAATACTTGTTTAAGTTTTGATATTGTCCATTCGACTTTAACATCAAGTTTTAAATTAATGTAAAATAAATGTTCTATGATAGAGGCGTTGTGCGACCAAGCAGAAATCTAATTTTTTTTTGTCGTTTTATAGTTTTAAAATACAATTGTAATTTCAATATGCGAAAAATTGGCATTTTATAAATTGATATTTTTTTAAATTCAATACTTGTATAATTAAATATATATATAGAGAGTGTACCACCAGGTTTTGGCATCTTTTCTAATTTTTTATCTAGCAAATATATTTCATTACAATTATTTAAAAATAATATTTACAATTTTGGAGTACATTAAAAGTATATTATTTAATATTTTAATATTTACAATAAGCGTAATTTTTGAGAGATTTTCATAATATATGGGAGTTTTTAGATTGTTATAACAATTTATATGTAATCTTTTAACCTGATTTGACTAAAATCAATTTGGTGCAGAAAATAGTGTCGATAGAAGTATAGCGAATAATTTAGTGGGTGATATTAGTGCTTCATTATCAGTAAAATAAAATTAATTAATACTACCAAAGAATCTGTACTAACATTAAGTAAATATCATAAAACCCTTATAGCTTAAAAGATATTTTATTGTGTCTGTTACCACTTTTTCTCAGCTCTCATCGAACCGATTTCTTTCAACAATACGTCAAGAGATCACAAATCGTATCTAGCTGAAGACATTACTCTCAAAAATTAAAAATATACCCATTGTTACCCGTGAATGGGGAAAAGCTCCAAAAAAATTACAAGTTTAAAAGTTGATAATTTTTGAAATTTAAAATATTTTTTAATTTAAAACGGCCATAACTTTTTTAAGAATTACCAAATCAATATAATTTTTTTTATATAGATTTATGAAATATTTGTCTTCCACTTTGTATATTCTTTTATAAATTTGACTCTTTACCTGTCCACAAGGGAAGTTTCAAAATGACAACTTTTTCAAAAAAAATTAACTTTTGAAAGTGCTCCGAAAATACTGATACTATTATATATATCTTAAATTAAAGCTTATATAATATACTTTATTATGGAAAAAAAAAATTAAGACTTAATTTTGTTTTAATGATGAAAAAAGTTTTGTTTAAAAAAAAAGTATGTGGAATTAAAGAAGTATATAAATAGTAATTATCACAAAAAAATTTTGTGATCCATATATTTTTCAAAAAGTTATAGCGTTATAAAGTTAAAAATATATAAAAGATTTTTTTTACAAAAATTCTATTTTTTTTATTATCTTTGATGTCCATTTTCATCATTAAAACAAAATAAAGTTCGAAATTTTTTTTTCCATATTAAAGTATATTATATAAGCTTTAATTTAAGATATATATAAAAATTGAAAAAATTTCGAAAATTAGCGATTTTTAAATTTGTAATTTTTTTGAAGATTTATGGGGAACGAGGGAAAATTGTTCAAATTTTGAAGGTAATGTCTTCGACTAGATACGATTTGTGATCTTTTGAGGTATCGATGAAAGAAATTGGTTCCGTGAGAGCTGAAAAAGTGGTAACAGACACAAAAAAAAAAACAACCAGCACAGGGGGGTCGCGGCACATTGGTGACGTAGCATAGTTGAATCAAGTATAATGATATCTGACAGTGATTAAAATCACTATCAAAAATAAACGCTTTGATGCAAATCTTTAGATAGTGTTTAATTTAAAAAAAATTAGTGTTTTATTCCAAAAGCTACTTGATCTGCTGGTTCCTTATTAATATCTCGATTAAGATAAAGTATGTCGAATGAAAAAGGGTTTATTAAAAAATATTATTTCTCATAAAAAAATTGTGTGGATCCATAAACTTTTCAATAAGTTATAGCATTATAAAGTTAAA